AATGAATAGAGAAGAAAGCATGGGTGCAATGCAGTACAACTAATAGAACTTAAAGCGACACAAAACCCTCCGCTTTTTTCTCCTTATACACATCTACACGAACATTCTCCAAAGCCACATTTAATCCTTTTTAGAAAGGCACCAGTTTTTGCTCATGTGACTCCTCTGCCCTCACACTTCCTGTCACCTAGTAAGAGCTGTGCACGTTGATTCTGGTCATGTGCACATCTTTGCCTACAATTCCCATGAGGCAGAGAGAAACTCTCTGCACACATTCGGCTCCTCCCTCTCCTTCCTCTACCCTCCCTCTCCTTCTTCCTTCCCTCCCTCTCCTTCTTCCCTCCCTTCTTCTTCCCTCCCTTCTTCTTCCCTCCTTCTCACATTCGGCTCCTCCCTCTCCTTCCTCTACCCTCCCTCTCCTTCTTCCTTCCCTCCCTTCCTTCTTCCCTCCCTCCCTCCTTCTTCCCTCCTTCCTTCTTCTTCCCTCCCTCCCTCTTCTTCTTCCCTCCCTCCCTCTCCTTCTTCCCTTCCTTCTTCTTCCCTCCCTCTCCCTCATCATACAAGCTGTGACTGTTTTACTGTCTGGCCAGATTCAGCAAGTGACCTGTGACTCAGAAGAAATTATGAGTCTGGTGACTGCTCACATGCTGAATCTCCTCTGTGATTACAAGCAGCTCACCTCACACTCCCTTCTTGGTAAGCCAGGAGAGAAATCAAAACCTCTATTGGTGTGGGAGAAAAACAGAGCTGTTATATCAAAGATTTTGACTGGGCTGGAATGTGTGACCGGTGACGTGGTCACACATTTAAACATAATCACGCCCACTTTTTTGACGGTGGAATGTGACCGGCAAAAAGTGAAGAATTCAAATGCTTTCTCAGCTGTTCCAGGGCAGTACTTTTGCCAATTAAGTACGAACAAAAAAAGTAGTAAACGGTGCAATGCACCAGGATTGGCTCATCAGCATTGTAAATATCAGCGCACACCAGCTTCGGTTTGCTGGTGTGAAAGGGCCAACAAATTTATTTCGTTGACTTTGGTTTTGTGAACACAGTTTTGACTCTGGCTACAAGGCAATCTGCGTCGTAGGTCAAAATTACAGATTTGAGCATTTCCCCATTTGAGAAAGAGTAGAAGTAGTTTAAATATCCTGTTGCATAGTGCAGTAGATGGTTTGGGTGGTTGTTGTTTGTGTTTTTTTTATTGGTGGATAAAGTCACTATGCAGATAGTGATACATCTGGAGTAAGTAGGCCTATAATAAGGGACTTTGAGGGGAATTTATCAAAATCTGGAGCAGTTGCCCATGGCAACCAATCAGCTTCTCTCCAGTTTAAGTTGAGATTTGAAAATGAAACGGAGAAGCTAATTAGTTGCTGTGCACTTCTGCTCCAGATTTTGTCTGCTCCAGTTTTGATACATTCCCCCCTCTGTATATTACATAAAAACTTCAGTGAACAGTTAGTGTATATAGGACAGTTAGTGTATATAGGACAGTTAGTGTATATAGGACAGTTAGTGTATATAGGACAGTTAGTGTATATAGGACAGTTAGTGTATATAGTTAATTGCTTATTAGCCTTAGAAAATACAGCTGGTAAGGCTGTACAAGGTGAGCTGTTAAGGCCCAGGTAAGCCACAGCAACTGGAGTCATCCTTTCGCCTTCTCTCTGGCGCATGATGCTTCAATCAAATAAGGCAGTTAACGAATCGCCAGCCAGCCATGGTAAATCTTCACTTATTTAAAAGAAGAAGCTGAAGACTGCTTGGATGGAGTGGGGTAGGTGTGGGAAGTAGGTTTGTGAAAATGGTTAAAGGCAATGGTATTGAAATGGGTTTTCTATGACAAAACCACTTGGGGTGGGCCCACAGGTAGATACCTCAAACAATAGAAACCTCTTCCTTTCATCAGATAAGCTGCACACCAATGACACCCACAAATTTTGTTCCAGATTTGGTCGACAGGTACTGCTGAGACCTAGATCGTGTGAAACATTTGTTCCTTTTTTCCCTGCCCTAAGCCCTCGTTTACACCTGAACGTTTTGTAGCGCGTTCTACGCTCGACGAACGCTCTACAAAACGCTCAAAAATATAAATCCATTGTATTCAATGGTCTCGTTCCCACCTTGGCGTATTTCCGCCTGTCCCTAACGCACTACAAAACTGCCCACGCCTGAAAAGGTACAGGTACTACTTTGGGCCGTTTTTTGTTGCGCGTTTCCATTGGGCTACAGCCAAGTAGCCTTCGGAAACCCGCGACGGTCGCGAAACTTTTTTACCGCGGTAAAAAAAACGCTCGACAGACGCGCATATGCAATACGCCTAGGTGTGAACGAGACCTAAAGGGAGCTCTAGGCAATAATTTCTTTCTATTTTGGAAATTTTGTGTTCTAGCGATCACTTTCAATTAAATCAATTATCAGACAGGCTGCTAATACCTTTTTTTTTTGTCGGCCCAATTGCTTTTATACGTTTTTAGTTTTTTTGTTCTTCTAATGCTGGCCGTTTGTCCCCCTAAAATTGTTTTCTGGTGGTCAAAACCCATCATCTTAAATCCACCTGTCATGGTGGGGCAGAATAGAATGCCTTTAATCCCTCACTGTGTTTGCACCTCTTGCCCTACTTGGAGTATGAATCTGTGTCGCCATCAGTATTTTATGATATTCCCTGTTTTAGTCCTAGATTTCTTTTAATGTGTGGAATAAGACTACTTGTCTTTTAATGGATCTCTTGCCTAAAGGGTATGGCTCTGTCTAGCTTCCCAGAAAAAGCAAGCTTCGATTCTAAACTCGGGGAAGCTGCATCGGTTTTTTATATCAATTCACACTATTTTTGCCTTATGATTTTTAGAGAGCAATTGAGGAATTTTTAAGGAAACCAATATAACAGAATAACACAGGCTGATATTGCTGAGCACCACCTGAACAGGCTAGTTGCCTGGCTGTTCATGTTTATCTGGTTTCTATCCTTGTTTTTGACCCCAAACAAGTGTGCAGCCAGTTAGAATTCTGCACACTTGTTTCAGGTCTATGTCAAGAAATATTAAAGCCAAAGGGGAACAGTCAGCATGACAATGCAATTTATGCAAAGCCCACATATTCCATCCAGTACGGGTTTGCTTTAACAGCAAATTATCCACAATGTAACTGCCCCAGCTAATCCTATTCAGGATAAAGCCTTGGTATTCTATATAAGGTCGATACCTCCCAGGGGTATTAATCAGAATATTAAAATGGCCATGGCAGATTAAGCCAGTTTTAATTTGACCCCGTTTATTAAATCATTTCTGTGCACCGTGTTGGTCAGGTTGGAATAAAAAGAAATCCATCTCTCTGGATTTTTTTTTTTTAATTTGTAGATTGGACATAGCATTTGCAAAAAAATCTTGCGTTAAGCCATTCAGGGCCGTGACCAAATTTGGTAAGAATTTGGCCAAACAGTATTTGCCTTCAGCAGCCAGCTGAGGTAGGTGGCATGTTAGGGGTTGAAAAAACTTGTATTTGAAGTGCCTGGCCAATATACAAGTGCAAATCCCTTTGCAGTATCCTCGGTGTCCGTTTGGTAAGCAGTAACTAGGCAAACCTTAATGAAATGTAGTCAAATATAGTAAGTAAACTGTTTAAATTATTAAGGCTAATTATTTCAAAGGAAATACCTTTTATGGACTATGCTAAAGTGGAAGGTAAAGCCAGTTAAATGCAGAAGCAAGGTCCTAAATACCCAGTGAAGCCTGCTTGGCTTGGCCATTATCAGCAGGCAGCCTGTGGGGCTCTGCAGTGTTCAGCGGCTGACCAAATGCAAAACTAAGAAATGCTTTTAGTGGAATGACCCACAGCAGCTGAGACAGGTAAGCGTTTCTCGGCTGTAAGAAATGCATCTGCACTTTACAAAAACTTCCAAGATTCAGACCTCCTTTTTCCAAGATATCGTCATGAAATTCCGTTGAATTTGAGGCGGTAATTTGAGAAATTTTGTAAGTAGCTTCACCAGGTAACTTTTCTTATTATTTTAGTGATTGTCTAGTGCTGCTTTGCTGTATTTTACTATAGCTTTATACTACCTTTTGTTAAGAGGACCTGTGAATCTTTTATATGTACCTCAGTCTTGCATACATTTACACTTAAGTCTTGGGGCCTTTTGGCTCATAACGGTGGACACAGTCTAGATATGTAGCCCTTGAACAGGATAAGCAAAGTTTTACTTAACCTGTTTTTCTCATTTTCAGCTGAGTTGCAGGGGGTTACATTTGGAAAGTGTGTGCATAGTATTGAGGTCCAATGTTTAAAAAAAAAATCTATAGAACAGTAATGCTCTTCCTGTTTTATAAATTCCTGAACTAGCTATAGTTTAACATTTCTCTTGCATTTCACTCTGCTTACCTGCAGAGTTTTAGAAGTGTCAAAACTGTAGTTTCTCTGTGTAAAGAGCATTTGCTGTGCATTTACACAATGTTCTGTTGGGTACTATTGCTAGCTTCAGAAAACTCCTGTGATAACATGGAGAAGCAGCTGCTTTTGATCTGCATTATTCAAAATGCCATTTTGTTTTGTGATGGGTTAAGCTTATGGGAGGGGGGAATGTTGTAAGCTTTGGCTAACTGTTTGTGTTTTGCCCTTCTGGAAATGATGTATTTACAGCGGCATACAAGCATGCAGATGGAAAGAAAATTGATGGACGGCGTGTGCTGGTCGATGTTGAGAGAGGACGTACAGTCAAAGGCTGGCGCCCTCGTAGACTTGGTAAGAAAGGTGTTTTTTTTTCTTTGTAGACATGTTGGTTTTGTTGCTGAATTGCCTACCACTCGGTTGGCATGCTTTTGGCCTGCCCAGTTGTCTTAGAAATAACTTATTTGTGTCACTTAATGATTAAGGATTTGTGACGTTTATTAAGCAGTCACAAGTTCGATCCCTCTGTTTTATGACCACTCCTCCTTGCTTTTCCACAAAATTGATGCCTAATGGGAAGGATTATAGTGTCCAACAAAACTTTTATTGCTAGTGCTCAATTCTCCTCAAAGGGGCAGCATAACCCAGCTGTCTTTTAGAATTAATTACTCCCTTTTTTCCGATGCTGGCGACGTACACTGTACGTCGTCGGTCACGAAGGGGTTAATGAACCCCAGGTAAAATGTTTTACGGTAAGTCAAAAACCCTGTTATTTGGTAACTTACCAACACTGTTGCAGAATTCCCCTAGACCTACTGTGTAAAGGGTTATAACTCAAAGATTACATTATTTTTCAGTTGTAGGTAAACACAACCTTTTTACTGGGCCTGAACTGCTTAAATTAAAATGAAAACTTGAAAAATGGTCATGTTCTAGAATATCCTTTTGACTTTGTCAGGGGTGCCTTCAAATTTTCGCTTAAGGGGAACTTTGATGTGAAGAGGCCTCCTGATGTGAAAGTGGGGCGGGGGAACCTGATATCACAAGGAAAGTTCCATGTCTTTTTACACATGAGGTTCCCTCTTAAAATGCGTTCCTTCCAGACCCCTGTCTAGCTAGGATAGGGGTTTAGTGACTGAAAAAGGTCCAGAAATGCTGTTCTTGAACCTTTTGATTCATAGCGTATGAAATGTTGGAGTCTCTACATGTGCTGGGCAGATTCATCCTTTCTTAGTCTTGTGGCAAAGTATTGAGGAAATCCAAAATGTTAGTCACTTGAACAGGAAGGAATGAGATCGTCCGATGAAGACGGGAAGTGAAAGTAAATCTTTACAATAGGACACAGACAGCAAAAAGCAAGTGGAGGTGATGGTTATCATTTACTACTCTATCCAAAACTGAAAGTTGAAAAATACATACGTGACCTAACTAGGCACTTCTCTGGCATGCACACACATAAGAACTGCACACCTTGCTTTATTATCGTACCCATTTCATTTACTTAGTGGGTTGGGCAACTGACCATAAGAAAAAGGGAAAGTGGGTTAACATGGGTGCACATGTGAAGCAAGCAAGGACAGGGGGAATGTGGTAAAGAACAGTAGTTTTTCTGTACTTTTTGTATGTGCATTCCTTACCTTTTTTCCCCACATAGTTCTTCACATCTACTGCACTTTAACTATTTTAGGTGGTGGTCTAGGAGGCACTAGACGCGGTGGGGCTGATGTCAACATAAGGCATTCCGGTAGAGATGACACATCCAGATATGATGAGAGGTAAGTGTTAGTACCTTTTTTGTATTGCAATTATAATGTTAAATTTGTTTCCACTTTTGCAGTGAAAATTAAGAAAACCCTCCTGTTTGTGTTCCTATTCACACAGCATCTAAAAAAAAAAAATGTGAAATGTGCTACCTCTTGGATATCTCCATTTAGCAGTCCTTTGCAATCTGCTCTCTCAAATTCAGTAACTGGAAACGGTCCTAATAGACTTTTAGTGTAGGCTGAGCTCCCCATTCGTTAACATACATAAGGGAGTTTATCAAAACTTGAGCAGACAAAATATGAAGTTGGTCACTGGGGACAAAGAGAAAACAAATCTATTAAATGCAGCTTTTTTTTTTTTCCTCACACAAAGGAAAATGGTGCAGCTCACAATGTTCAAAATAGCGATGGTGTTAAAATAGCCTCATCTGAACCACAACTGTTAAAAATTTATATAGAAAAAAAGGCAATGGTGAAAAGAAGATCTTGACCTGATGTCCTCAAAGTATTAAGCTCTGTTATTTCAAAACCATTGTTTGTAAATTTGAAAGGCTTGAATAGCTTGGTTTCAGTGGATTGCTGCAAGGATAATGTGGTGGCTATATTTTAGGGATTAAAGGTGGCCATACACTGCTTAAATTTTGGCTCATTCCTGGGAATTGGCCAAAATTTGAGCTGTGTGTGACTGCCAGCACCACCCAGCTTGACAAATTGACTTTTCAATCTACCTATATAGAAGGAGGCAGGTGGAAAATTGTCGGCTGAACATTGATTGCATCCAATCAAAAGCAGTCGCTGCTCAGGTATTCATCAGCTGCTTTTAATGTGGGTGGGTAAATTGAATAATCTTAAATATAACCCTTGAGGCGGGAGAAGAAGGAAAAAAATTATAATGGATAGCTTGCATGGTTTTGGTACTCGAGTTGTAAAAAAATAGATCTTTAATCCTCTTAGGGATGATTTAGAACATTGACTAATATTGTAGATGGTATATGTTATACATTTTTTCTTTTTGCATTTTTTTTTTTCTTAAAATGTGATCTGAAATGCATCTACTTTTTTTTTTTTTTTTTTAGGGACCGTGATCGAGAGAGGGAGAGAGACCGCCGAGATCGCAGCCGTGACAGAGACAAGGAGCGAGAGAGGAGACGGAGCCGCTCCAGAGAGCGTAGAAGGCGATCCTCCCCAAGCCGTGAGAAGGATGATAGGAAGCGTAGCAGAGAAAAGAGTAGAGACAAGGATAAGGACAAGGACAAAGATAAGGACAAAGATAAGGATAAGGACAAGGATAAGGACAAAGACAGAGACCGCAAGCGCAGGAGTCGCAGTAGAGACCGCAAACGTGATAGGGACCGTGACCGGGAAAAGAAAGAAGAGCGAACAGAGGGGGAAGCTGGAGAAAATGCGGAGGTTAATCTTGAAGAAGTACAAGTTGGTGATGGTGTTTTGGATGGATTAGAGGCCAAGCCAGAACCGGAAGAAAAGGGTAGGGATCGTGATAGAGACCGGGACAGGGATAAGGACAGAGAAAAAGAAAGAGACAGGGATCGAGACAGGAGGCGTAGCCATAGAGATAGGGATCGGGATAAGGATCGGGATAGAGACAGAGATAGGAGGCGAGACAGAGATAGAGATCGAGATCACAAGCGGGATAGAGACCGGGGTGACCGCAGTGAGAAGCGAGAGGAGAGAGTTCCTGATAATGGTTTGATTCCAGAACCTCCAGCAGAAGAGACAAGCCAAGATATGTACTTAGACCAGGAATCCATGCAGTCTGGAGACGGATATTTATCCACAGAGAACGGCTATGTCGTGGAGCCTCCTATGGAGTGACCTACCTGAGTTTACTAAGTCTTCATTTGGACTCCTCTTCTGTAGTCACGCTTCTGTGCGTGTATCTCAGCCACATCCACATAAATGTTTCACTTGTGCATATGACCTGGGATTTTCCATCTGTGGATAACTATGAAGTTTCGAAGCAGTTAAACTACAACATTTAATTGGAACATTTGCATTTTTCCCCTTCTAGGTGGGTATGTTTTACAATTTGTGATGGTCATCACCCAACTTGTGTAAAATTGCTTACGTTATTTTATTTCCTTTTTTTTTATGGCCTCTCAAATAAAACCATTTTAATGTTACATCTGTTTTTGTGTTTCTAATGGGCAAAGCACTTTTACAAGGGAAGTTCATCCAATGGTTCTGTTAGTTTGGTTTGAGGTTGATTGACTGAATCCACTTGCCACATGCGAGCGCCATCCACTGATGTTTTATATTACATATGATTTGACATTCTAGGTGTTGTGGAACTACATGTCTCATGAGGCATTGCAAGACAAAAACAGACATGACTCCCAGGCAGAGGTATGATGGGATCTGTTGTACACCTGATTGAGTGCCAAGATTACCTACCCTTGTAATAGAGGATTCAGCAAGAGGAGAGAGATTTGTTAGAGGGAGAAGAGGCAGCTCAGAGGGAAAAATATCACCAGTTATATCCTGTAGAAATCGCCAACATCCACTCATAAATGAACCTGTACTGGGATTTTTGTACCAAAAAAAATAGAGATACACATACAGAGCATTCAGAAAGTATTCAGACCCCCTTCACTTTTTTCAGTTTTGTTATGTTGAAGCCTGATAGTCTTAAATTTTATTTATTTTTTCCCTCAATCTACACTCAGTACCCCATAATGGCAAAGTGAGAACAGAATTTTAGAAATGTCTGATGTTTTTTTTTTTTTTTTTACAAAGGAAAAAAAACCCTGAAATATCACATGTACTTAAGTATTCAGACCCTTTACTCAATACTTTGTTGAAGCCCCTTTGGCAGCAACTACAGCCTCGAGTCTTTATTGGTATGACGTGACGAGCTTTGCACACCTGGTTTGGGGGATTTTCTGCCATTTTTTTTTTTTCTTTCTTTGCAAATCCTCTCAAGCTCGGTCAGGGTTGATGGGGACTGTCGGACAGCCATTTTCATGTCTCTCCAGAAATGTTTAATAAGGTTCAACTGTAGGCCACTCCAGAACATTCACACAGTTGTCTCTAAGCCACTCCTGTGTTGTCTTGGCTGTGTGCTTAGGTTCGTTGTCATGTTGGAAGGTAAACCTTCAGCCCAGTCTGAGGTCCTGAGCGATGTGGAAAGGGTTTTTATTGAGGATAGCTCTTTACTTTGCTCCATTCAGATTTCAGTCAATGCTGACCAGTCTTCCAGTCCCTGCTGCTGGAAAACACCCCACAGCATGTTGCTGGCCCCACCATGTTTCACTGTTGGGAGGGAAATGGGCAGGTGATGAGCGGTGCCTGGTTTCCTCCAGACATAACGTTTTAGAATTGAGGCCAAACAGTTCAATATTGGTTTCATCAGACAAGGGAATCTTTCCCCTCAGTCTGAGTCCTTCTTTTTTTTTTGTAAACTCCAAGGGAGCCGCTATGTGTTTTGCACTGAGGAGATGCTTCCAACTCGCCACTCTGCCATAAAGCCCAGATCGGTGGAGTGCTACAGGTATGGTTGTCCTTCTGGAGCTTTGTCCCATCTCCACACAGGATCTCTGGAGCTCAGTCAGTGACCATCGTGTTCTTGGAAGAGTCCTGGTTGTGCCAAACTTCCACTTGAGAACTATGGATGCCACTGTGTTCTTGTGAACCTTCAGGGCAGCAGAGCATTTTTTTCTAGTCTTCCCCAGATCCGCGCCTTGCTATAATCCTGTCTCGGCTCCGCAGGCCTTTCCTCTGACCTCATGGCTTTTGCTCTGATACAGTATGCATTGTCAGCTATGAGACCTTGTACACACTGTGCACAATTAGTAGGCAAGTTGTATTTTTGAGGATTCATTTCACTATTGAACAACTACAGTGCTCGGTCAATCCAAAATGTTAAACTTCACACCTTAATATTTAAGAAAGTAAAAGTTTTTGGCTTTTCTTAGAATATCTGTGTGCACAATTATTGGCCAACTATTAGTGTGCAGGATTTTTATGCAACTAAATGGAAAACAAACATTTTCCCATCTCACTTGTTTGTTTTTCATCTGGTAAAGTGAGAATAATAACTCAATTTACAAATAAACATATTTCTGACAGTTAAAAAAAACAAATCAGTGACCAATAAAGCCCCCCTTTTCAATAACATTTATCAGCCTTCCATCCATGGAGTCAGTTTCTTGATCTGTTGACCAACTTTTTGTGCAGCAGCAACCACGGCCTCCCAGACACTGTTCAGAGAGGTGCACTGTTTTTTCCTTCACTATAAATCTCCCGTTTAACCACTTGCTGCCTGGAGCAATTTCTTGTGTTTGCGCACACATCAATTTTTGGCTAGAAAACCGCTTCAGACCCCCAAACTATATATTTTCTGAAAGCAGAGGCCCTGTAAAATAAGATGCTAGCTGCAATTTTTTATGTCGTACGGTATTTGCACAAATGTTTATCAAACAAGTATTTCTCCAATCATCTTCCAGGCCAGCAACCTGAGATGATTGGCTCCTCCCAACAGGAAACACAATGAAAAAAGACCGTAAAATACCCTCCCACCCCATCATACCTCAGTTGTTTTGTGTTTCCTACCGTCCAGGAACCTCGTCACGTTTGTTTTTTTTTTTTCTCCTGACCGGTCGGCTTTGTGGTCGCAGGTCTCCCCTCTGCGGCTCTGTTCAGGTCCTCTTTCAGGCCGGCCACTTTGCTGTGTAGACAGTGGGGGTTCCCTTTTCTTCAGGTTCAGGGCTTCCTTCGTCCATTTTTACTTTAGGGTGGAAGGGTCCTGAGGTTTCCCGGCAGTAGTGCCCTGTTCAGAGCGGCTTCATTAGCCGTAGAGGTGGCTGCACGCTGTGGGCTGGCGGGAGCCGGCGTGTGGAACAGAAAAGGGGGCCTGTGCGTTCCAGGGCTCCGGCGGTGACGTCATTTCGGGGGCGCCGTTGCGGTGTAACTTGTTGTGGGTGTCAAACGGAACCCATGCATATCACCACAGATGCCAGTTCATGGGGCTGGGAGCCCATATGTTCGGTCTACAGGCTCAGGGGGCATGGTCTCAGGAGCAGTCAGAAGCCTCTTCCAATTACCGAGAACTGTCAGCTGTGAGGGAAGCTCTAAAGGCGTTCCAGGAAAGCATAGTCAGGAAAGAGATGCAAGTGCTTTCAGACAATTCCACCACCAGGGGGGAACTAGATCTCCGGCACTTCAGCAAATAGCAGAGGAAATTTTTTTGTGGGCAGAGTCTCACCTATGTTCACTTTTGGCAGTCCACATAAGGAGAGTGTGCAATGTGATGGCAGATTTTCTGAGTCGCAGACCCATCCAGCAGACCGAGTGGGAGCTCCACCAGGACGTGTTTGCTCAGATTGTCGCTTTGTGGGGACTGCTGGAAGTGGACTTGTTCGCAAGCAGTCGCTACAAAAAGGTACCAGTGTTTTTTTTCCCTTTACAGGGAACCAGGATCCATAGGAGTGGATGCGCTGGCACAGCACTGGGATATATGCCTTCTCTCCTCCTGGTCCTGCTTCCGCGGATACTCCAGAAGCTGGGCAGGTCAACTTGTGTTCTAATTTTGGTGGCCCAAGAGGGCTTGGTTTTTGGAGATTCAGAAGCGGTCTGTCAGTTCCCAGTGGGTCCTGCCTTAACGGGAGGACTTATTGGGTCAGGGCCCGGTTCTGCATCCAAATTCAGAATTCTTTTGCTAGGGTTATTGAAACTCTTTTGGCCAGCAGGAAATTAGTCACAAGACACATCTATAGCAAGTTCTGGAGGGTATTTTCCTCTTTGTGTGCAGGCAAGGAGATTGCCTCGCCCTCGGTTCCAGTCATTTTGGAATTTTTACAGGATGGCATGGATAGTAAATTGGCAATCAGTACTCAAGAGTCCAGGTGTCGGCTCTTTCTGTGTTTTTGGAGTCAAAATTGTCAGACGAACCGTGAAGCAATTTCTAGTCGCGGCAGAGTGCACCCGTCCATTGAGGGATCAGTCATTCATGAGATTTATCCCTGGTTCTAGGAGGGCTTTCTAAAGCACCCTTTGAGCCAATAGGGGAAGTGGCCATGAAATGGTTGCCCTTAAAAATGGTTTTTCTTTTAGCTATCACATCAGCTAGAAGGGTTGGGGATCTCCAGGCGATTTCTATTAAACAGCCCTATTTACTTATCTTACTTGATAGGGTGATCTTGAAGCCAGATCCTCTGTATTTACCTAAGGTGTCGTCACAATTCCACAGGTCCCAGGAGATTGTGCTTCCCTCTTTTTGTGATGCCCCAAAGAATCTTAAAGAGCAGGCCTTTCATGCCTTAGATGTTCGCAGGTGTCTGCTTATATATTTGGAGGAATCTAGATCTATTAGGAGGTCCACTCATCTTTTTGTGTTATTTGCGGGTCCCCGGAAGGGGCTGCAAGGGTCTAAAGCCACCTTAGCCAGGTGGATCAGAGAGTTGATAGCTTCAGTTTATCATACAGAGGGGCGGGAGGCTCCCCTTTCTATTAAAGCGCATTCCACTAGATCTCTAGCAACATCTTGGGCAGAGAAAGCTGGGGGCATCGGTGGACCAGATTTGCAAAGCGGCAGTCTAGTCGCGACAGGATACTTTCGTGAAGCATTATAGTGTGGAAGTACTGTTGCAACAGGGTCTCACCTTTGGCGGAAAGGTGCTTCATGCTGTGGTCCCGCCCTAAGAAGGTAGGCTTGCTGGGGGTGTGCTTGGTTGTCCTCTCAGGTTGCTGGCCTGGAAGATGATTGGAGAAATGTTTTGTTATTACTTACCGATAACGGGATTTCTCAGTTTTCCAAGACAGCAAGCCTACTTCCCACCCTGGTTTGTATATTTCATATGGTTGTTATGTGGGTATGTTTTTACCTTCGGAGTTTTTGGAGGTAGTATACTTTGGTCACAACTGAGGTATGATGGGGTGGGAGGCTATTGAACTGTCTTTTTTTTATTGTGTTTACTGTTAAAGGAGGAGCCATTCATCTCTCAGGTTGCTGTCCTGGAAGACTCTGAGAAATCCCGTTATCGGTAAGTAATAACGAAACATTTTTAGGATACAATACACTTAAATCAAATTTAGTGCACAGGAACAGAATATAATACCCATTTTTTGGTAAAATGTAGGATTGGGTCACGCCGGATAAATAGATACCAAACATGTCAAGCCTTAA